CTGGTGGTTCAGGTGGCACATTGACCTGCACGTACCAGCTGCTGACTGGCCCCCAGGCGGGCTAGGTGTGCGGGCGCGCAAAGCACACCGTCGCTCCTGCTTCCGCCGCCTGGACGACCTCTACCGTCGTCAGTTCGGCCCCTGGCCTATCTTACTTCGTTGTGGAGTTCATATCTTTGATATGGATATGATTCAGATCGATCATGCCTTATAAACTCTGTATTCTGATGGTTCTAACGTTGCTAGTTCTTATTATCTTGCTATTTGTAGCCTTGGAGCTACAGCGACGGAAAGTATTGTCCACATGTTTGTGACTTAGAGGAATTTTGCCATTTTAGGGGGTCATGGACATTAAGACTTAATCTTCTGGTGTGCCTAGTGTAAGTAGGTTGGGGTAAGGCTCCACGCCCATGCCTTACATCACACAAGTATAATGATGTTTACAACAAATACTAGAAAATAACAATCTTGGTACATGTGGACAATTATTGCCAGGCGCAAGCAGCAAGTTACATCAACCCCAAACTAGTACCTAATCCACCGCCCTTTCGCCTTAGACACCGCCCTCACCCTCCTGGGCATGCTTTCCACCAGGTGGGTGCACACATCCGCCGGGATCTTCTCCCATTTCTCCTGCACCCGCTCCCAAAGGTCCAGCATACCAGTGGGAGGCTTATAAGGCTTGGCCAGCTGCCTCTTGAGATGAGCCCATAAATGCTCCATTGGGTTGAGGTCGGGTGAGGAAGACGGCCACTCTAGCACCCCTGAATCTTACTCTCAAAGCATTCCTATACGATACGCGACTTGTGCTTCGGGTCGTTGTCGTGCTGGAAGATAGTTTTTGAGGGTGTAAGCTGGTAAAGCTCAATCGTACTGTTGAGATCGTCCTGCAGTATACTCAGCGAGAGCAGTCCGTCCACCCTACCATATGTTTTGCTCATGAAACCCGCTCCCTTTTACGACATGCAGTTGTAAATTATCAAGCAACCGCCCTCGTGTTTGACGGTCTGCTTGATTTGGTGTCTTTGGAGGGCAGTCCCTTCGTGAACGCAGGCGTATGAGAGTCAGTCGGATGCAAGACGACCGATCTTGGTCTCATCCGCACAGATAACTCGCTTCTAGTCGTCAACCGTCCAGTCTGCGTGGGCACGCACCCATTCCAGCCTATCGCGTATGTTTTTCCGAGAGTGTCGCGGTTTCTTGGGATACTTGATTGCGACAAGTCGGCTCCCATTCAAAGCGTTACACAATGTCTTAGGATGCAACATGATGCCGTGCTGCTTCTCAACGATTTTCGCCACGTGAGCAGAGATTTCTGCCTCCTTGAGGGTAATCGACCGAACTATGCCGTGGCGAACTCTCTCTGTCACTAAGCGAGGGCGACCGGCTGAGGGCATCGTAGGACGCACGTCATCGCGGCTAGACTCTACAATCGCCTTGATGGGCCGAACTCTTCCCTATGGCTAGCTGTTAGCGATTCAACGATTGCTCTACCCCCTCCGCAACAAGGGAATGATCTATGCGTAGAGCGCCTCATCTAACAGTTTCATGACGGCCTAATCATCGCAGCGGTCCTAGCCTATCTCCTGACTACTCGATAGTCGCGAGGGCAAGTAAGAAGAAATAGCGAGGTTAGGAAATAGATCTACTACGCTGCTTGGCCTAAACTGTCCGGATGCACCCACGCGGACGAAATCTCGTCCTCGGTAAAAAATCGACCCCTATAAAACTGAAACCAGCATCCGTCACATACAGTACAGTACTACTTTACATCCAACCCCGAAATTTGATTCGTAACTAAACAAAGAAGGCACCAAACCAGTACGAGAAATGTTTTAAGGCAATAATCCGGGCAAGTTTCCGTCGCTGTACTGCTGTGTGTAGTCTAGACTCTCCTGCTGCGTCAGGCGTAGGACCTGTTAGAGACTCTTCACTGGGCCTCGCCACATCAACTCTCTCCTTTATCCTAGACTCTGGCACGTCTCGGTGCTTTTTTCGAGACAGTACTGCTCTCACCCCGCTTCCTGCGCATGTCCGCATTGCACTAGCAGACTCTTCCGCCACAGCTGTTGCATGCAGCAGCACCACAATCCCCTGTCAAGCTGTCCCATCCGGCTCCCTCTCCGATCTGCACATCCCCTCGTTTGCTAGGAACCTAGTGGGTGTCAGTCACCTACGCTGCTCACCAGCTTAACCCGTGGCCCCGCTCCCAGCGGCCACAGGTTTAACCGACCATCCTCTGGACCGGGTCTCCTAGTGACGCGTGTGCATTCCACGTCTGGGGCAGCGTTGCTCACGTTCGTGACCCTGGCACGGACAAGCTCACAGCCCGCGCCCTTCCTTGTGTCTTCCAGGGGTTTCCGCTTGACGCCCCTGACTGGCTGTTCTACCACCCGGCACACCACCACTTCTACCACTCTCATGACGTTACGTTCGACGAAATGCTTCCCTACTACCGGAGCTTCCCTCACTCCAGTGCTCCTGTGCCTCCTCCTCCTCTCTTCCTTGTTCCTGCCCCGCCTACCGCATCCCTCCCTCTCCACCCGGCCCAGTCTGGTGACTCCCACGCTACTCAGTTCCCCTCGGTTGGGCCAGTGGGGGAGTCGGCTGACTCTGGGGCCCAGCTCCTAGGGGGGGGGCTGCTGTCCATGTGGTGCCTCCCCCATCCTCGGTACCCCAGGCACCTCAACCGCCTCTTCCCTTGCCCCAGTAACCGCAGCCGTCGCCGCAGTAGACTCAGCGGCCGCAGCAGTAACAGCAGTAGCAGGGAGCAATGGGCTCTGAGGGAGTTGGTTCTAGGGGTGCTGGTTCTAATGGTGCTGGTGTTTGCGGTGTTGGTGTTAGGGGTGCTGGTGTTGGTGGAGTTGGTGTTGGGAGTGCGGGTTCTGGGGGTGCGAGTCCTGGGGTTGCTGACTCTTGGGGAGCTGGTTCAGGGGGTGCGAGTTCTGGGGGTGCTGGTTCTGTGGGCAGTGCATCCAAGGGTGCTAGTCTTGGGGGTGCTTTTTCGGGGAGTGCCGGTGGTAGCCGCGGTGCTACTGGAGGTCTTGGAGAGGTCAAGGAGCAGCCGCAGCAGCAACAACAGCCACAGCATGAGCAGCAGCCACAGCAGCAGCAAGCGCAGCCGCCGTTGCAGGAGCAGCCGTAGTTTGCCTTTGTCTCCTTCGTCTTGCTCCAGGTTCCCCTGTCCGCCCGCCCGTTCCCCCTCCGGTGCGTGACCCTGTTTACGGCCCATTGTTCCCTCCTCCGGACTCCTCTCAGGCTCGTTTTCCCCTGCGCTCCCCTCCGTCCCCTGACTTATCCCCCGTTCCCACTCGTCCACAGTCCCCAGTTCATCCCCACTGGTTCCGCCACCCCGCTGGTGCTCGTCCGATCTCTCCCCGTCGTAGTGTCCACCCTTTGGTCCTCTGTTTTCCTACTTCTCCAGTCCCCGTGCTTCAGTTACCTTTTCCGTCGTCGCTCCTGCATTCGCCCCCTCTTCGCTCAGACGTTGCTCGTACTGCTCATCCTACCCTCTCGCGCTTGCTTGCATTGCTTGTCACTGACCCTACTACCCTCCTGAGTTTGTCTCTGTGCTTGTCGCTACTGTCACTAACATTGCTGCTTGCCGCCGTCTTGACTACGTTGCCGCTCTAGTCTCCGGTATGGCCTCTCCTTCGTCCCTAAGGGGTGTACCTGCCCTTGGCAGTGACGTGCTAGAGGACAGGTAGTACGAGTTGGCCTGCCTTGCTGCCACAATTCCCCATCTCTGCTCCTTGCTTGTATGCCCAGAGGGCAACCCAGGCGCTCTCAACATCCCTGTTCCGCGCTCTTACGCTGAGGCGATGTCGGGGCCCTGGACAGCCCAGTGGATACAGGCCATGGAGGTTGAGATGCAAGCGGCTGAACCCCACGACGGGCACCAACAACTACGACGTCCTTCACATGGATTGCAACCTCAACCTTGCCCATGTGGTCTCAAGCTGCACGGAGCTCGAGTGCTGGCTTTTTTACTGTTTCCTATTTTGAACAATGTGATTTTTTTTTGTTGCCCATGCCACTCACATTGACTTTATGTTGTAGTTAGAATTGCGCAAACTTCCTTAGGGGGGGGGGGAAACCAATCGACCTTAGTAGGTTTACTATGCAATATATGGCATCTTGCCATATATAAAACAATTATGCACTACAGATGAAGCATACAGCATTGCAAACGTTAAATTACACCTCGACGCAAATAACCATGTGGTAAATCTCACGAATTTGCAAAATAATTAATCCATACAGTAATTCAAATAGGAGTAACATTTTCAAAACCTTATATTCGGGAAGCATCAGGTCCGTGGAACACTCGTGAACCATTTACGGCAAATTAAACGATAATAGAACACCTTGCAAGCACTTGGCGAACGATTTCCAATTTTGTGGCCGGCCTCGAATAGGCGTAAACGATTCGCGAACGTGACACTTTCGCAACTCCATCGCTCCCCCCTCTCATACCAACCCTCTCTTGCGTGCCATCACACTCCTCCCTTGCTATCTCCTTGTAGCTCTGCTAGCATCTTGGGAGCAGAACTACACCCCTAGCACCGTTTCCACGGTTCATGCACACGTGCCCAACACGTCGCCATTTTTTGCCCTCCGTATTGTTCTCCCTCTCCTTTGCATGTCTCTTTCAACTCAGCACCATCCAATGTCTCCATCACAGCGCCCTTTCATCCAGGGCCTCATACTGTAAGTCAGGCCAAAAAGGCATGCAAGCCTGTATTTCATGGTGTTTTCCAGGGGACTGCCTATTTTTTCAGGTTTCAATTGTCCCCAGTCCTGATTTTTAGGGGCTCTTATTTTGCTAGGCCTGATTTATAGTATGTTATTGTTATGTGTACCCTGGTTTATCAGTCAAATCGATATTTTTTCCTGAAACTGTCCCCCCCCCCAATTTTTTTTGTTTTCACTCTTGGAGCGGTATCTGAACTATGCATGCTAGAGCACGTGTGAGGGGCGTGACTGGTCCTTGACCAAAATCACGAGTCTAAATGGAGTTGCGATACAGCACGTGTGAGGAGAGTACTCTGTGGTCCTTAGCCGAATTGACCTGCAGCACTGAAGTTGTGCTGGAACATGAGTTTCTACCGAGATTGGTCCTTGATGGAGTTTACTGAATTTTGTCCAATCGTCAAAGAGCTGATGCAGATTCTATCACCCTCACAAGCTGCAGCACCAAGAATGCATCTGCCTTGCCATCACATCGTTATGTGTCCTGGCATGTCGCATCGTGCTGGTCGTCCGCCCAGTCCCACCGTCCGCATCGAATCGGTTCGAATGGGACCACTTTGCGCTCTCGGCATTCTGGTTTTGCTGCACGTTAGACCAGCTGCTCGGAGTCATCTCTCTGCCTCTCTATTTTAGCCTCCTCTCACCCCTACACGCCCGTCATGAGCGATGACGAGGGGTGGCAGCTGCAGGGGTCGAGACGCCGCAGCCCTAAGGCGGCATCAGGGTCAGCGAGTGCTTAGCCAAGCGTGCAGTCGACATGAGATCTCCTGGTCCGTCCTGTAGCTTAGGCGAATAGGTGGAGGTCGGATAACACGCAGGTCGATCCATTCCCACTGCTGCCTCGCAGTCCCGTGTGGGATCCTGCGCGAGTATTTTCTCAGATGCGTAGCCCCATGAACGTGAAAGGCAGGTCGACACCGGTGCAGAACAACTCGCCACGAGCTGCTTCAAGTTCGCTGGCACATGCTCGCGAGTTGCTGCTCGGACGTCAGAGGCTCCTTGCAGACCCTACAGGGACGCTGTGATTTTGCAGCCGCAGCCTCGCATCCCGAAGAGTGGTGCTGATCGATTGCCGCCGCCTCAAAGCCCGCCGCGAGACGAATCTCCCCTCCTGCCTCTCCCTAGCAACCCGTATCGAAGTCACTTTGTCGCCACCCAAGCCCGACGAGTCGACCGATTTTACACGATTACGGGAAGCACGAGGATTAGATGTTCAGCACAGTTAGAAATTCAGTGACCACGTGCCACGTGCCTCGAGTCAGTAGATCTACAAATTCAGTGACCACGTGGCCGTTACGCAAAAACATAGCAAAGAGGATTAGATTTTTCCCCCTAGTGCAATCGGTCGACTCGTCACACGATTATGGGGTGGAACTCCAGCAGCGATGTGGTGCAGCACAAATTCTACATCCACTACAAAAGCCTGGATGGGGACCACGACGAGTGCTGCAGCGTCTGCATGCGCTTTGCGAAGGCGACGGCCCATAACATCCCCGAGTGTCTTGGTGACCTATGATATTGATTGAGTTGAAAACTGCTGTGTTGTTGCCTGTTGTGCTGTTGCCTGTGTTTGCTGTTGTTGCGCTGCAGGGGTAGTCGATGAAATCCCTGGAGTACTAACAGAAGAAGGATTTTGCTGCTGCTGCTGCATACCGATGTGCGCATAAGCCGGTGGAAACGGTCCAGAGGCTGAGAGACCAGTGGCAGCCGAGGAGACAGGTACTCCAGTAGTTCCGGAACTAGATCCGGTAGACTGTCCTGGTGTTGTTCCAGTTATTGTTGACAGTAGTCTTAATTCCAGACAGCTCTCATACCATGTAATAATTTGACTGGTGTTGCAGGAGACTAAGTATAGAATCTGCAAACATGAACACTTGGAAAACCTCAAGTGTTAGCCTTGGATCTTTACAGGAATGGTAGACTAGTAAGGCAGCGGAAGTCTTAGAACTTGTAGAGTAATGACCAGAATTTACTGAAGAACAAATTAAGAACAAGTTTAGAATCAAGTCCAGAACCACGTTAATTGAACAATGAAGACAGGCTACTTTTATAACTAACAGAAGTACCAGTTCGCTAATGTACCTGTTGACACTATTGCGCTATGCGCCCTAAATGACACTGAAGAGACGCGACTGTTCGCGTGACTGAAACGACTGTCCTCATGACGAGCGCTATTTGCTGACGTCATCCTACGGACTTATCTTCTACAGTAGGATTCGACACTATCTATCGATAATCGACTTACAGAAATGCTATGTATGAATGATATCACAACAGTCCCTAATCATAACAGTGCGGCTACTCTGGCTGAATGACCAGGCACTGTACTCCGGCCGCCAAACTGGTGCCCCAGTGGCTGTTCGAGCCCGAATTGCTGTGCAAGCCTAGTTCTTCGCATCAAATGGTAGATTGCCTGCAGGGCTCTGTTTTCGACATGACTCTTGGTCATGTCGGCATCAAAGCGCAACCCGTGCTCCACCTGCAAGATCAGAACCGAACGGAATCAGAAATGACGACTAGTCGATATGACTTGACGACAGGTTAAAGAAAGTGTACACGCACGTTCCCCTATGAGCCAGAATGAGAGCATGTTGAGTGTTAGACTAATGACGGCGTGGCCCGGACGGGAGGAGGAGGCTATGATGACCCGGCTGAAGCACTGTGGCAAAGGGGACATTGAGGTCGTCCCTGTGCCACGTCAACAAACCGTGCAACTTGGCGTCTGCGTGACACGTACGTGGGTCAGGGGGATGATTGAACCTTTAACAAAAGAGTTGAATATTGGGCTGGGAAAAACAGGGTAGGAAGGTAGACCAAAACGGTAGTGGGATGGGATATTAAGGGTGGGGAGGTAGGCTAAAACAATGATGGGATGGGTAAAACAGGGCAAGGAGGTATGATAAAACAGAAGTGGAACTGGAAAAACAAGGTGTGAAGGTAGACCAAAACAATATTGGGATGGGAAAAAAGGGTGGGGAGGTAGGCTACAACAATTATGGGATGGGAGAAACAAGGTGGGGAGGTATGCTAAAACTGTAGTGTGATGGGAAAAACAGGGTGGGGAGGTAGACCAAAACATTAGTGGGATGGGAGAAAAAGGGTGCAGAGGTAGGCTAAAGCAGCGATGGGAGGGGAAAAACAGGGCTGGGATTGTAAAACAGCCTCAGCAGCCTGCAGTTAAGTTGCTGCTGCAGGTCGGGGAGATGGGGGAGAAGGGGAGAGAACTGGGCAGGGAATGTAAAACAGCTCCGGCCTTGCCAGTTCAGCTGCTGCTGCAGGTCAGGGAGATGCGGGAGAAGGGGAGAGAACTGGGCAGGGAATGTAAAACAGCTTCGGCCTTGCCAGTTCAGTTGCTGCTGCAGGTCAGGGAGATGGGGGGGAAGGGGAGAGAACTGGGCAGGGAATGTAAAACAGCCCCAGCATTGACAGTTCAAGTGCTGCGGCAGGTCAGGGAGATTGGGGGGAAGGGGAGAGAACTGGGCAGGGAATGTAAAACAGCCCTGGCCTTGCCAGTTCAGCTGCTGCTGCAGGTCAGGGAGATGGGGGGGAAAGGGAGAGAACTGGGCAGGGAATGTAAAACAGCCCCGGCATTGACAGTTCAGCTGCTGCTGCAGGTCAGGGAGATGGGGGGGGAGGGGAGAGAACTGGGCAGGGAACATACAACTGCCCCGGCATTGACAGTTCAGCTGCTGCTGCAGGTCAGGGAGATGGGGGGGAAGGGGCGAGAACTGGGCAGGGAATGTAAAACAGCCCTGGCCTTGCCAGTTCAGCTGCTGCTGCAGGTCAGGGAGATGGGGGGGAAGGGGCGAGAACTGGGCAGGGAATGTAAAACAGCTCTGGCCTTGCCAGTTCAGCTGCTGCTGCAGGTCAGGGAGATGGGGGGGAAGGGGAGAGAACTGGGCAGGGAATGTAAAACAGCCCCGGCCTTGCCAGTTCAGCTGCTGCTGCACGTCAGGGAGATGGGGGAGAAGGGGAGAGAAGTGGGAAGGGAACGTACAACTGCCCCGGCATTGACAGTTCAGCTGCTGCTGCAGGTCAGGGAGATGGGGGGGAAGGGGCGAGAACTGGGCAGGGAATGTAAAACAGCCCCGGCCTTGCCAGTTCAGCTGCTGCTGCAGGTCAGGGAGATGGGGGGGGAGGGGAGAGAACTGGGCAGGGAACGTGCAACTGCGTTGGCATTGACAGTTCAGCTGCTGTTGGAGGTCAGGGAGATGGGGAGGAAGGGGAGAGAACTGGGCAGGGAATGTACAGCTGCCCCGGCATTGACAGTTCAGCTGCTGCTGCAGGTCAGGGAGATGGGAGGGAAGGGGCGAGAACTGGGCAGGGAATGTAAAACAGCTCTGGCCTTGCCAGTTCAGACGCTGCTGCAGGTCAGGGAGATGAGGGGGAAGGGGAGAGAACTGGGCAGGGAACGTACATCTGCCCCAGCCTTGACAGTTCAGCTGCTGCTGCAGGTCAGGGAGATGGGGGGGAAGGGGAGAGGACCGTGCAGGGAACGTACAACTGCCTCGAGGATGCCATAGTGGATAAAAACAGGGGAAAATAATGCGGGGGGGGTGGGGGGGGGGTCAGATGCAATGGTAGAAGGGGGGGGGTGGGGGGGGAATGTGAGGGGACAAAAAGCAACGGGCGGATACAACGCACGAAGGCAAGGTAGTAGGGGCCATTCATGTAGATGGAAAGCCATGGCTTGGATCTGGAGAGCATGGGATAAGGGAAAGGGGAGGTCACACATGATTTGTAAGTGTCACGCCAGACGCGCCTCTCCATCTTCCCCTCCCTCTTAGGTGATGGACGGTTACCGAGGAGGGTGTCGATGTTGAAGAACTGCGCCACGGTCATCCTCCCGTTTGTGAGCAGGTCGTTGCGGAAGTCCCGCAGGAGCTTCCGCATGTAGCCCGACCTGCGTGTGTCGACGTCGTAAACCAGCTGGAGCTGGTCGTACTGCCATTGGTACTTGAAATTCATCGTGCGCCCGAAGTCTTGGAGGAAACATTTCCTAGGGGGGTATAAGTTCACGTGGGCATCCGCTCTCTCGAATATCATGATGTCGACGGTCCGTCCCATCTTGGTCTAGGGTGGAATGTGAGGGGTGGTGGGAAACAGAGGTGGAAGGAAGGGGATGGGGATTGAGGAAAGTAATGAGGTGGCATAGGCAAAGAGATTGCACAGCACATGCTCATCTATACAAATGACCTGTAACAAAAAACTACAAAGATGTATCCACTTCATGCAGGCATGTGTCAAGGGTCAGGTGACAGCTTACGTGGAGGCCATTGGTTTTGGTTGGGATGACCTTCATAGCACGGTCCAGGGTTTGGACCCATTCTTCATCTTGGGCAGTTACAATCCTCCAAAGAGGGAGTTGCACACCAGATTCGTATGCCAGGCCAAGACGGTCCGCGATCTGCCCTCTTGTAAGCATCGGGGGAAGGGGGGCGGAAGAGCGGGGAAGGGGGGGGTGGGGGGGGAAGAGTTGAAAGGCGAATCCAGAGACTTTGTAAGAAGACCCACACAATAGTCGGCATAGCACATGGAAGGTATGGGCTGGGGGCAGGTAAGGGGTGGTAAGGGAAGGGAGTGTAGGTGGGAAGGTGGGGGGTGAGGGGCACAGACCCATGATGCTGCAGCTGAGAACAGGGGAACATCGGGGGTGAGGATTGGTAGGGGGTGAGGGAAGGTGGGGTGCAAAGAGGGAAGGGGGAGTATGAGGGCTGAATCTGACATAGTAGACGTACCACGGTTGGCGTGACGATGCCTGAATGAATGGCTTGGGGTCCAGCCATGCCTGCCGGGCCAAAGCTGGGTGCCACTTAGGTCCAAACCTCTGCGTGCTCCCCGCGGAGCTGGGGGGGCGCTCGCGGGGCGATCTGTTCTCATTCTCGATCTCCTTCAAACGCCGCTGGAGCTCCCGATTGCCTGCTGCTGGCGCTCCAGCTCCGTCGATGCACCGTTCCCAACAACGCCATAGTCATGCTCCGGTTCGATGTAGAAGATGAGATTGCCCCCGTCGTTGTCCGAGAACTCGTGTGTCTCCTCCAGCACCACTGAGTTGAAAGCAAA